AAAAAGTACTATTGTTACAGGTAAGAAAACTTAAGACACTTTCCCAAGGTTCTGTAACTAGTAAGTGGTGAAGCAGGTATTATTAGTACAGTCTGGCTTCATAATCCATGCCTTTAACCATTCTCAGTATTTTCATATTAAAAAATTTTTAATTTCAAATTAAATCGTAATCAGAATGCCATATATAAAACAAATGAAAGTAGAACAACTTCGTTTGAGTGTGGGATAGTGGACGTGCATCTCTGATGATTCACGCTCCTCCTCCCACTCACTGACCTGCTTATCAGCCCCCCGGATGCCTTCTTGGAACCCCTGGTGCTCTAGGGAACACAATTTGAAAACCACTACTGTGGGTAATTGGGAATCCCTTGAGATGTGGGAGCCAGACTAGTGATGTTTTTGACGAAATATTGATAGTTTAGGTAATATTTTCCTGGTGGTAGGGAGACAAGTTGTGACAATAAGCCTGTGGGACATCTTTGAATCTCAGACGCATGGGACTCAGTTCAAAGACACACAGTCAAAACAACTGAAAAAAATCAAACAGAAAGGCTAACCTTCAATTTGCATCTTTGGAAAACATGGAAGGGGCCCCAGGAGTAACCGCTAGCAACTTTTTTTCCCCTTTCCTTTTTCTCTTCTTTCCAATTTTCTTACTCTGCCCTTAAAACAAAATAAAACCTGTCTCTATCCCCAGTCTCAAGGCTCATTCTTCCTCTTACTTCTTTCTTACATTTTCTGTTATGTAGATCATCATAGCCTGTGCTTCAAGGTCCTATACCTTTGCACCCAGTTTCACAGGTTCATTTTGTTACTCATTTGCTAATTCCATTTTCTAAAATCCAGGAGGAGACCTGGCTTAGAGATATGCTGTGGTGAGGGAGAAGCTGATCAGGCAAAATCATATCCTCACTTAGGGTAGGGGTAGAGACAAAGGCTAGGAGAAAGCGCACACACAGGTGGGCGTGTGCACGGGTGCGCACACAGTTATTTTCAACCTTATAATGAATGTGGGAGGGGAAGGGACCTGAGCCTGGAGCATCAAAAGTAATGATAGAAAGAAATGATGGATCTGAGAAGTGTTTCCAAAATAAGAGCTTGGAGATGAATGGAAAATAGAAGGAGAGAGAAGAGACAATTTTGGCTCCTAAACATGAGTGACTGAGAAAAGGTCAGGATGGTGGACCAAAATTGTGGATGTGTTGGGGAGTGGCAGGTTGGGAAGGAGGGTTGGGTGGTACGGATTTGGCTTAGCAGGTGTGCATGGATCACGAGTTGGCTTTTGGTCATCCTGAATTTAAAGTGATATTGGGACATAAAAATGGAAGTGATCAACAGGTGATTATGTATATGTGAAAAAGGTCAAGTGAGTAAAAGGAGATAAAGGTTGGAAAGGTACCTGCATAGAGGTAAGAGCTGCGGAGACAGATCTCAGTCCTCCTCCTGAGGATCCATATGGATGAGGAAAATCTCTCTAGGACAGAGTCATAGGGGGAAGAACCCAGTTATGGGCTGCAGGAAGATGAAAAATTTGCAGAAGAAACAGGAGAAATGGGTTCCCAATCTAAGGGGAGCTTCAGAGAACCAAGGGAGGTGTTGGTTTTTAGGAAAATGGGAGGTGGATTTAGCCCCACTCACCCATTAAACTGTGTTTCCAAGAGACTACCTAATGACAAGGGAAAATTCTCATGATCATATATTGAAAACTGTTTATAAAATTGTATATATCATCACAATTTTACATACACACACACATAGAGAGAGAGATGGAGAAATTATAATAAAATGTTTAAGGTGTTTATCTCCAGGTGGTGGAATTTGGGGTGATCTTATCTGGAAAAATGCCATCATTTAATCTTAAATCAAAAGAATAAATTTTCATATCTGTATCTTTTAGATTCTGTACAATGAGTGTGCTTTATTCTTATTATCAGCAAAAATGTTATTTTATTGATATCAGTTAGAAAAAGAAGAATAACTGACATATAGGCTACATTGTCTCACTTAATGCCCATAAACATCTAACAGAGCAAGCAACATGGTCCCCTGTTTCCAGATAAGGAAACTGAAGCTGAAAGAGATTAAGGAACTTGTGTCAGACACGTGGTAAGTAATGGAGCCATGATTCTAATCTGGTGACTTTTAAGACACTGACTACATATACATAGTGAGCTAGAATGTTACTTCAGAGGAGGTGACAAAGTGGTGGGAGGGGGCGGTTAGCTGTGCAAACTACACTTTAAGAAAAGACACTTGGCGGGAAGGAAGGTACCAGTAGCCTGCAAGAGTAGAGTTTCCATGGGATACCAAGAATAAAAATCAATTTCCTCTTGATGAGTGTGGACTGGTGGTGGAGAGTTGGAGGCAGGTGTAGAGCACTTGATGAGAAGTTTGACACTTCACCAGCCAGGACAGGCCAAGTCAAGTTGTGGATAACAAGACAGCCTCTTACCTCGTGGTGTAGCACAGCAAAGATTTCTGCCTTGCTTTTGTGATGTGAGTTGGCCTTGGGCTTCATTGTGGTCACTCAGGGGCTCAGGCTGAAGGAGACATCATCTGAAACATGCTTCCACAGTCATCATGGCAGGAAAAGTACAGGTTGGGGTTGAGTACTAGTACTTAAATGCTTCTACCTGGAAATGACAATGATTTTACTGGCCAAAGCTGCACCCAACTTAAAGGGAGAGGGGAAGTATGGTCCCACCATGTGCCCATCAGAAGGGGAACTGGGATGTTGCGAACCAGCCTAATGACTACCACAGCAGAGAATACATTTCTCACTTTGTAATGCTCCTGCTTGGTAGCAAAGGAAACAGTTTGCAGAACTGTAGAACAATTAACAAGGGAGGTACTATGGGCACCATCTAGGAAACTGAGACTTCAAGAGTCAGGTGATTATCTGCACAGAGTTACAGAGAGAAACAGTGGTTGTGCAAAGACTAAATGGTGTACGTGAGTCCAGTGCCCCAGGTGGTCTTCAGTGTGCAATACTCACTGGCCAGGAGCACATGAATTAGGAGGAGTGGGAGGCCTTGGCCTGGGAGGCTATGTCAAGACTCTGCTTCCAAGGTGTTGCGAATAGCAGTCCTACCTCATACTAGGAGTTATTGACGTTGGAAGCCAATGGCATCTCCATCAGTAAAAACTCGGGATTACATCTCTCAAGTGCCCAGGTTTCTCCATGTGGTTATTGCTGAAATGACCAGGGCAGACTGTGAGTCATTACTCTAAAGTATAATTGTTAAAGTTGGGTTAATATAAAACTAGCTGGTGCCTGCCCCAAGCAGTCAGTTGGCAGGTGAACTAAGAACCTGGAAACCCAGCTGAGTAGCTCTCTGTGTATAGGTTGCAGACAAATATCCTGGATACTCTTCCTCTTCTCTGGGTTCAATAGTATATTTGAAATAAAGAACAGTTTATGAAAGGAAATGGGGTCACAAAGACAGAGGTCATCCCATATGGAGGATCAGACAAACTGTGTCTGAGTTAGCACTGGAATGACCATAATTCTGATCTTTTTTACACTGTTATTCAGTGTCTCAAAAATAGGGAAAAAAGGAAGAATAATAAAAATTATGCTTCAGCCTCACCAAATATTGCTTTGTAGAAGGACTTTGTCATATTTATGACATTCTGTGAACTTATGTGAGAAACTAAAAAGTTTGGTTGCTTTTAAAATTTTGTATATTTGTAAAGTTGAAGAATAATGCAATTTATTCTGCAATTAAACAGGTGTGGTTCTGTGGCTTTTATAGGTTATATTCCTTGTTTTTTAAACTGTTTTTGTTTTGGCTTTGATTTACGTTACGTGGTCATCAAGTTTCCTCTTTTTATCAGGGCAGAATGGAGAGTTTTCTCAATCTTAAAAGCTTGTAATTTACTTTGGATGTGAACTATAATGCTTATTCTGAATAAATTCCATGTAAAACTGCAGAAATTGTGTAGAAAGTCTTTATGAATTGGAACTTAACATGTCATTGACACATTTTGAAGGGTGTTCTGTTGACTTTAGTGATGGATGACTCCATTCTGCCAAGTTCAGCTGGAAGGGGTGGCTTAGAAACCCAAACATCAAATCTGGAATCTAGAAACTTCCTGGAACCATGGTTTTAAATCAGCAGGGTGAATGCAGCCTGCATCTGTGCAAGGGATGGCATTTCACCAGCTTGCTCCACGGAAGTCTCTGGAAGAGAACCATAAACACCAGCCCTCTTTGTTGAGTGTTGGCTTTTAAAAACCCTCGATGGTTTGGGGAGGATAGGGGCTTGCCATGGGGCTCCCTGGTCCCATTTTTTGGGACCTGGCTGAAAACCCTGGATATCTGATAGTCTGGCTTATTTCTATGCTGTATTAGCACCCTATAAAAGTTACATGTCATTTATTTCAAGTTTAGAACCCTCTCAAACTTCAGGGGCAAACCAAACTTGAACCTTTTGTGGCTGGAATTCTGTTTACCTTTGGCCAAACCTTACTTCCTGAATGTGAGGCTGGGAGGTGAGGTGAAAGGGGGCTCCTGAGGCCTCTGGGACATCAAATCGCTTTTGCCAAACTAGGCTTTGATAGGTTAAAACATGAATGAATCTGAACCACGTAGATTAACTTCCTGTCAGAATACTCTGGGGCCTATGCACAAAAGTATATTGTGCCAGGCAAAATGCATTTTGAGTGTTGCCTTCTGCCAACCGTGAGGCAGTGTCTGAGATTTTCGCCAAACACATGTTGAGAATGGGTCAAGACACTCACCTTCCACTTCTAATAAATATATTCAATAATTTCTACAAAGGTAACTGAATGGGGATCTTGGAGAAATATGGACATTTCTTGTGTTTGAAACTTTTATTTTTAACCAGTGACAAAGAAAGAATGGACTCCAAGATACAGTGCCCTGTTCAAGGACGGCTATGGTTCCTTTGTGTCTGTTGTCAGAACACAGGCTAGCGAGGAATGCCTTGTGCTTTAATGAAGGAGAAATAACACACTGCCGTCCATGTACCTTTCAGATAGAGGAACTGATGAATGCACTGGAGAAGACCAGACAGGAACTGGATGCCACCAAGGCTCGCCTTGCCTCCACGCAGCAGTCCCTGGCTGAAAAAGAAGCACACTTGGCCAACCTCCGGATAGAAAGGAGGAAACAGCTGGAGGAGATCCTGGAGATGAAGTGAGTACCCATTTTTGCTTTCCTAGTCTCTCTTTTCTAACTTCTCGTTAGGGATGGAAAAGGGAAGGCTAGAGAAGATGAAGAAAGAGCTTGGAGAAAGAATAATTTAGCTAGCACTTGACTAGTCATTTCCAGGACTACACTTCTAATTTTTTAAAATTATAGCTTCCATGTTCCAATTTGCACATTTTTCACATCTGTTATTTTAAAAAAATCCAGCATTAGATTTTGTGCATCTGTGTTTTGTGGACGGTGCTGTTCTGTCGCAAAAGTCTGAGCTGGCCAAGTGACAGAGGCCTCGTTAAGCACAATGGTAATTTGAGCACTGCTCAGAGTTAAGTGGAAACTTTTCCGAGGAGGTATTTCCTAATTGTGACTACAACTTTGCTAATTATATTCTTTTCACTTGTATACAATGCCTGGCTTGTGCTGGCTTTCATAGAGTCTCAAGGTTGGCACCTCTTTGTTTAGAAAGCAGGACTCTGATTTGCTGGGCTGATAAAAACAGGCTTGAAAATCCTCCCTGTCTATCCCCAACCCCCACCGGGGTAGGGTGGGTAAATCGGGGGAGACTGGAACCAATCTCTTTCTTTGATTTAATCAATAAAGTGCGGCTGCGTGCTGGGCAATGGTCATTCCTGTGGGTCTATGACACACCCATCTCTTATTTCATTCTCACAGTGAAATAATATCATCATGGAAGAACATAGGAAAGAAAATTACTCAAAGATTTTAGAAATATTCAACTGCTATGGATCTGTTTCTAAAGAAGTAGGCAAGAAGCAGCCTTGCTGTATAAGTTTTAAAATGAAATAATCACTAAGATATAATTTAACTCCAACTTCCTTCCACAATAAGGGGAAATGCAGATAATTATGGCATCTTAAGCCTGTAACATAGACTTTGAAATTGGTGGCTAGGTATAGAAGAATGACCTTATCCTGACCCTGCGAGTCTTACACATGGTTAACATTAAGCCCAGAAAGTTTAGATCATGGAAAATTCGGAATGAAATATTTTGAAGGATTTAATAATGAGGACAAACTTTTATTCTTCGTCAACTACCTCAGTTTCTCCAAGATGAAAGAATAGGTAATGTTTTTCACATATAAACTCTTAAGTTTTCCTAATAAAAGATGATATTATTTATCCTCCGTTTAGAGGTGAGAGCACTGCAACTCAGAGAGATTTCAAGTAATTTGCTAGAGGCCATCTGGCCAGGATTAAAACCAGTCTTCTACCTCAAGCTCCCTTTTGACTACCTCATTTTCTCAAGGAGCTTATGTGAACTCTACCAAGCCTGGAGCAGTTGTCTGTTTGAGTCACTGTAGTAATCATGCTGCCTAGAACAGTGCCTGGCGTGTGGTAGGAGCTCAATTATTGTTTGTTGAATGAATAGATTGGATGCTGGAAATTGGATTTTCTGTAGCTGAGAAGAAAAAATAGATCAAGCATTCGTGACTTTGTTACCTTGATCAAAATTTGTTAACAACACCGGTACATTGATTCCATCACCCTTTACTCTCTTCCATTCACCTATCCCACTTCTGCCTCCTTGTGTGTTGTTATGTGTCGAGTTCAGCCTAATTTCTCTCATTGTTCTCCAGCTGGTCTCCAGTTAACTCTACATCTCCTGGAGTGATTTATTATGCCATTATAAGGAAACATTCATTACTTCCTGTTTATATAAAGAGCATATACTTTCAGTGTTTGAGAGAACAAGTAATGGCGAAGCATGCTGGTTTGGGAGTCATCAGATCTGGGTTGGAATCCTATTGCTTCCAGTTGGTGGCTGTGTGACTTGGGGGAAATGACCTTAACATTGCTCACCCTCTGGTTTCCTCCTGTAATGAAGTCCGTGGGGTGGTTGTGAGGAGAGCCACTCAGAGGAGGGCTTGGCACTCAGAAAATGATAGATGTGTGTAAATGGTGCTATCAGCCAATGAAAATATGTCATTTGTTTAGTATACTTTGTGAAGAGTATCATTTATCTAAAATTTGGATTTATTTTTCTAAAACATATAAACCTTTTCCATGTGTATGTTTTCCCACTTAATTTCATGATTTCAGATAGCACCTAACTAAGACCTCTTTTGGTGAATTGCCACATTATTGCTGAAGTGCTTAATCTGCTGCCACTGCAAAATAAATACAAAATTTCTCTGTTAATTCCTTTGATAAAAGTAACAAAGCCCTGCTTCATTAGGCCCAATATGGACTCCATTCACTGTTTAACCAGCCCAGACCCCCATTATGGCCTCTTTCCTGGGATGAGGGGGACACAGGTACAGGGCAATTCTATTGACTGAGAACCCCACCTAGATTCATCAGGCACTTGGGCTGTTCAAGTCAACCAGCTGGTTTGATCGGTCTTGATTTTTAAGCAGAGCTGACATATTGGTTCCTTGACATTAACTGCGGTAACGTAAGTTAGTGGGAACAGTCAGATGGGCGCATCATCGTCAGTACTTACCATCACTCTGTGCCAAACATTGTTGTTGGTTTTCTTTCAACTGGCAGGTGTCACGCAAGCAACTTTGGCCAAGTCTACCCAATTTCCAAACTCTGATGGGAATGGAGAGGCTGTGTGGTGTTAGAGGAAAGAAGGGTAAGGCAGTGAGTCTAGAGAAAGGAGATGTGACCTCTCAACTCACCTGTAACATTAAAGGAGATTGCTCTCTGGTTGCCTCAGTTTTCCCTTCAGTTTCCTGGAGGTGATAATACCTGCCTTGCCTGCTCTACAGAATTATGGTAGGGACAGGATTTTAAAAAAAACGTACTGAGTTGAAATTAATACAAGCCAGCATATGTGAAAGTGCTTTGAAACATAAAAGGGGCTTTTGAAATGAGGTGGCATCTGTTAAATTTGTTGCAAAATCAAATGGCACAGAGTTTTAGAATTGGAAAACAGCTGGGTCCCACCTCCCAGCCTGCATAAGCCAGACTGCTGTCCACCTAATCACTAATAAGGAATTCACTGGACCCTGGTGAATACCATTCCCATTGGAAGTCATGGTGATGGTTCACGTTCCATGGCTCTTACAGGTAGCTCATTTGTCCTTATATTGAACTGAAATAGCTTCCATCTCATCTTCCCACTTGTCTTGGTTTTTGTTCCAGAGCTACAGAGAATTCACCTGCATCACATCCACAGGACAGATAACCTTTTAGATATTTGTTTGGGTAATAGTGTTCATTTTAGAAAAAAAAAATGAAGAAATATGGAGAAGCACCATTAAAAAACAAAATCACCCATGGTCCTACCACGCAGAGATAGACACTGATGGCATTTTGCTGTATACCTTTACGAATACTCTTCACTTTTAACAAACTTAGGTCATACTTTCGTATTTTGTAAATCCTGCTTCTTTTGCTCCCTGAATGGTGAATACCCTTCCATGTCACAAACAGAGAATTGTATCATCTTTAGTTACTGATTATACTGTTTTATAGGTTTATCCCTTTATTGGACATTTACTGTGGTTCCAATGTTTTGCTAATATAAACAATGTTTTGTTAAGCATCTGCTGTTTAATTTTATTTTATTAACTTACTTTTAAATAATTGTAGATTGTTACACAGTTACAAGAAATAGTACAGAGAGGTCTCTCGTATGCTTCATTTATTTCCCTCCATGGTAACATCTTGCATGATTATAGCACAATATCACACCAGGAAATTGATAATGGTACAATTTACCGACTTTATTCAGATTTCCCAAGTTTTACATACAATCATTTATGTGTGCGTGTTGGTATATTTAGTTAATATGCAATTTCATCACATGTATAGATTTGTGTAACCACCGTCACAGTCAAGATACAGCACTGTTCCATCATTACAAAGATCTCTCTTAATATATTTTTTTGGTGAGGAAGATGGGCCTGGAACTGACATCTGTTGCCAATCCTCCTCTTTTTTTCCTTGAGGAAGATTAGCCCTGAGCTAACGCCTGTGCCAGTCTTCCTCTACTTTGTATGTGGGATGCAGCCACAGCATGGCTTGATGAGTGATGTGCAGGTGCGTGCCCGGAATTGGAACTAGTAAACCCCAGGCCACTGAAGCTGAGCACGTGAACTTAACCACTGTGCCACTGGGCCAGCCACCGTCTTGATACCTTTTCATAGCTACACCCACAGCCCAGCTATTTCATTTTTAACCAGAGTTTTGTTTTGTGTTATATCATTTGGGGACATGTACTACACTGGTCTACGTTTTTCCATGCCATTCTTCTTGGGCAGGACAGGGCATTGTCCTCTTATTTTAAGTATTGCTTGCTTCCTCTGATTTAAAGATTTCTCATGAGTTGATTTTAGTTTATTTACAGTGGAATTCTCTTTGGAATTGCATATCTAGAAGCTGTCATGTGGTATGCCTTCAAAAAGTACTTGAGAAATGAAAGGATAAATTAGTTTAAAGACTCATAAATATTCTTTGAGCATCTACTGTGTGGCAGGTACTGTTTTAGGTGAATGAACAGAAAAATCCCTGATCTTATCAAGCTTGCATTTTAGTAAAATGAGTGAAGGAAATGAATGAACAAATAAATAAGCAAATAAATGAATAGTTAGATAAATAAAGTAGTTTCTTGGGGCCAGCCTGGTGCATAGTAGTTAAGTTTGTATGCTCCACTGCAGCGGCCCAGGATTTGCTGGTTCGGATCCTGGGCGCGGACCTACACACCACTCATCAAGCCATGCTGTGGTGGCATCCCACATAGAAGAGCCAGAAGCACTTACTCTAGGATATACAACTATGTCCTGGAGCTTTGGAGAGGAAAAAAAAAGTAAAAGAGGAAGATTGAAAAAGCTAACAGATGTTAGCTCAGGACCAATCCTCCTCACCAAAAGGCATTCCCTTAAAAAAAAGAAAATTCAGTGCCTTTATTACAGGCTGTGCAACTGTTTTAAATAAATAAATAAATAATTTCTTGTGCAACCAAAGACGTTTGGAGTCCCTCTTAGAAAGCTATTTCCAAAGGTAAGAACCCTCATGGTTGT